CTTTCCATGAATAGATAAAAATCAAAGCAGAAAATATAAGAAAGTAAAATAAAAGTGTTTTCTGGGTTGAGAAGAAGTTAGACAACATTCAATTTTAATACATTTTGTAATAAATGTAGTTCCTTCACATATACATTTTAAAATATCCTAGTGCTGTGTATTTCATTGACTGGAAAAACCATACCCCAGAAAAATGACACCTCAGAGCAATCTGATGTTAGAACTAACCTAAAACAGGAAAGGCTTTCCCACCATTGAAGTCTAGACCAAAAAAAAAAAAAGTTTTTTGGTATCACATTCAGCTGATGTTTACCTTAGCTATATAGATGTTTAAAGTTTTATATAGTTAATTTAGTCCATCTTTTCCTTTAGGATTTCTGCCTTTGCTGTCCTCTTTTAGTTTCTTGGGTTTTTTCTTTTTCTTTTTTTTTGCCACTGGCCAGACATGGGGTGGCTCATGCCAGTAATCCCAGCATTTGGGGAGGCCAAGGCAGGAGGACTGCTTAAGCCTAGGAGTTCGAGACCAGCCTAGGCAACATAGTGAGACCTCATTTCTAAAATAAAATAAAAAAAAGAAAGAAAAGAAAAAAAAATTAGTCGGGAATGGTGGCATGTGCCTATAGTCCCAGCTACTTGGGAGGCTGAGATGAAAGGATCACCTGAGCCCAGGAGGTCAAGGCTGTAGTGAGCTGTGATCCCACCACTATACTCCTACTCAAAAAAAAGTAGTGATCCCACCACACTGCACTCCCCACTCAAAAAAAAGTAAACAACAAAAGTCAAATAAGAAACTATGGGAAAAAGTATTTGTTATTCATATTAAAAAGGATTAATACCCCCAATACAGAAATCAACCAAAATTTTAAAAGCGTGAGAAATCCAATAGAACTCGCAAAACAACAATAACAAAACAGGCCCTTCAGAAAAACAAAAGGTAAAATTAAAAGAATTTGTAAGAATTTAGGAAAACCAAGCCCTTTCACCCTTCTGTTAGGAACGTAAATTAGTTCAACCTTTACACAGGGCAATTTGACAATATAAAAATAACACTAACATTTACATAGAACTAGCTAGTTACCAAGCACTCTGTGAAGTGTTTTATACTGATTGACTCATTCAATCCTCAGTTAACTTTATTGCTATTCAATGTGGATCATCTGTAATAATGAAAATCTCAAGACCCCTCAGACACCGAAAAATAGAATATGTAGGACTAAACGCTGACCTTTTTTTTTTCCTCTCTTGCTAAATTCCTAAATAAGTGCCCTGGAGATCATGTCCCACAAAGTCTCACCAGACAAGTTTTATTATCCCTATATAATGTGACTTATTTTCCAACCTAACTCTGGCATAGCATCATATAACAGATAAAGAAGAAAATAAAACATATTTTGTGACCCTGCAAAGTTAAAGCTGCCTTGGGGAAATTTGCATCTGCATAGAATCTCCTTCTGAGGTATATCCTCGACTTTGGGCCCCTTTTAATATACCACCTATTTATTCTGAAGCCTACTATTTAGAGGCTTCGTCTACAAATCAAGAATCTTGGCTTATTCCATTTCCCTTATCTTAAATCAGCATTTCTTTTACCAATATCAAAACTTTTTAGACACAGCTTAACTCTTTCAATCCATTATCAATCAGAAATTCTTTGACTCTACCTATGACCTGCAAGTCCCTGCTTAGAGATGCCCCCTCCTTCCTAGGGCCAACCAATGTGAACTTCACAGGCACTGATTTAAGTTTTGCCAGTAGCTTCTGTCTCCCTAAAAATGTATAAAGCCAAGCTGTAATTCAACCATCTTGGCCACACATTCTCAGGTCACTCACATTTGTCTCAGAATAAACCTTTTGAAGTGTTTTACAGAAAAAAAGGAAAAGAAATAAACACCAAAAAAATTATATATTCAGGAAAACTATCCTTCAAAATTAAGGAGAAATTGAGACATTCCTAGACAAACAAAAACTGAGAAAATTTGATACTAGTAGATTTTCCCCACAAAAAATATTAAATGGAATCCTTCAGTACAAAATGAAAAGATAGCTGCTAGACTTAAAACCATATGAAAAAATAAAGAGCACTGGTAAAGGTAACTCCATAAACAGCTATAGAAGATAATATAAATCTATTTTTGTTTTTATCTTTTTTCTCTTCCCATCTGATTTAAAACTCAAACGTATAAAGCAATAAACATAATACTGCTTCAGACTTATAACATATGTGGTTTGTATGAGAACAATAGCACAAAAGAGGGAGATGGAAGGAAGCTACATTGGAGGAAATTTTTTGTTTACTATTGAAATTATAGTAGTAGTAATTCAAACTAGATTATTTTAAGTTAAGGTGTTAATCACAATCATCAAGGAAACCACTAAGAAAATAACCCTAAAATATAGTAAAAGACAAACTGATTAAAATGTCACACTAGAAAATGTCTCCTTTAAAGAGTGCATGAATGGAAAGACACAGAAACAAAAAGACATAAGATTTATAGAAAACAAATAACAAAATGGTAGAAGTAAATTCTACCATGTCACAGTAATTACATTAAATATAAACAAACACTACAATCAAAAGGCAGAGATTGGCGGAATGATGAAAAAAATGCATGATCCAACTATATGCTGTCCATAAAAGGTACATTTTAGATTCGATGACATAAACGGGTTGAAAGTAAGTGTAAAAAAAGATATACCATGCAAACAGCACAAAAGACCACAAGTAACTATAAAAATATCAGACAAAATAGACCTTAAAACAAAAATTTAGGTAAAGATGGACATTTTATAAGGGTAAAAAGGTCAATCCACCAAAAAAATATAGCAGTTATAAACACAGATACTGCTAACAGCAGAGCCCCAAAATACATGAGCCAAAAGCTAGGAAAAAAAGATAGTTCAACAATAATAGTTGGAAACTTCAATACCCCATTTTCAGTAATGAGTTAGAACATCTAGACAGAAGACAAACAAGGAAACAGAATACTTTAACAGTACTATAAACCAACCAAATGGATATTTAGGAAATTCACAAATATATGAATACGACACACTTCTAAAATAACAAAGGCTCAAAGAATAAATCACAAGGAAATTAGAAAGTACTATGAAGTGTATGAAAACAAAAACACAACATACCAAAACTTGTAAGATGCAGCAAAATCGGTGGGAAATTTAAAGCTGAGAATGCCTCCCTTAAAAACTAAGATCAAGAATAGGGAGATATGACAATGAAATGCAGTTTGGTACCCTGGACTGGATTCCTTGGACATAAAGTTACCCAAATGAAAATTACCCAAATGCCCATTAACAATACAATTGACCGATAAACTGTGGTACAGTCACACAATGGAATACTATACAAAAAAAAAGTCTACAACTTCAAGCAGTAATATGGATAGGTTCCATAAACATAGTATTAAATAAAAGAAGTTCAGACAAAAAGAATACATATTGTATGAATACATTTATAGAAAATGCAAAAACGGGTACATCTAATATAAGAAGTTGAGACAGTAATTGGCCTTAATGGAGGAACCAGTGGCTGGAAAGGGGACAGTAATATTTTGTGTTTTACTCAGGGAGCCAATTATAACATTATGTTTGGTCTGTGAAAATTCAAGTTGAATACTTAAGATCTGTGCGTTTTTCTTATGTCTTTCAATTAAAGGTTTTGAATAAGGTCACTCTTTAATAGATATCATTTCATATCTTGAACAATATAGTAGTAAATACAACAAAATAATCTTAAATAAAATCCTTTCTAAGCTATATAGTTCACTAATTTTCATAACTTTCACAAGATGGATAATATCATGTGTATTCACATTTTAAAGGATGTCAAGAGATGTTCACCATAATCAGAAGTGTCTGTACATTGAGGGTAACCACTATGAGCACATCTTGTAATTGCAGAAGTCAAACATGACTGTATTCATGTTATTGGTTATTAAAATTTTAATAGTTATTTCCTCTCTTAAAATGTGTATACATTTTTTAGCACCATATAGACACACACACACATATATATATATGCCAAATGTGTGTATATATATACATTTCTCAAGAGTTGAGTGGGACTCTTCTCTTGTAATGGAATTGTCAACTGGGACGTAAAGCTGGGGAGAAAAGTGCTAGTGACTCTTAGCACTTTTCTAAAGAAAGTCCTATGATGGAGGCCAGATCCTTCTCTGGGACTCATTAGAAAAGTAGTAGAATAGGCCCTATAATCAACAAACAACTCTCTTATTCCCAGTTATTTTAAGAAAACTGGCAAGGAAAGGCATAACATTTCAGCTTATTGGGATGGATAGTTTTCCCTTCAACTCCCAAGACAAGTGAGGTAAGAATTCTAAGAGTGCCTTTATAAAGAAGACTAGGAGTGCTTTCAGGAAGGGAAGACTGGTATCTCATTCCCTTTTAGACATGAACCTAGGCTGTAAAATTGTCTGTTTGTCTTTGTATCTAGCTGAGCAGAGGAAAAGGAAACTAGAGAGAGATACATGGCAGAGGAGAGAGAGGGGTCAGAAGTAGAACATTCCACGCTGCCATTTAAGCATGGCAAAGTTGTATAAAAACCCCATGCATTAAGTTGACATGTGGAAGATAATTAAAATTAAGCTACCTTGTTAGTGGCATCTGCTCCAAGATGACCACTAGCTAAGTAAGGAATTCCAGCAGCAAGACGATGCGGGGTAAACAGGCAAAGGGAAGTAACTGGGGGGATACTATAAAACGTCAAGTCAGAACTAGATTTCCTGTATCTGGGACTTATGCATAGGTAAATGACTAGCAAGTTATGAAATCTTCCCGAGATTCCATTAAGTTGTGGAAAAGGATAGAAAAAAATAAAACCATTTCATGCTGATGCCACAAAAAATGGAAACCTTCAAAAAACTAGTTTTATATGTGAGTATGACACCAGAAATACCATGATACCAGAAACTACTTTGTTAAAAAAATAAAAAATTACTACTATTTTGGAAATTTTAGATACCGACCTTTGGTAACGGTGTAGATAAAGTACTTTTGGTGGATGTCCACAGATAGTCTCTGTCATGTATGGACTTGCCATGATTGGCTGATGAGAAATTTTGAGATATATTTTTTGAAGAAGTTCCTCTAGAATCAAATTTCTGAAAACCAGTTTCAGGTGTTTCCAACAAAGATGTTTGTATGTTCTGCATTGAACAACAAAAGTGAATAAAAGCATCATTAAATACCATTTTATTTTATTTTTTATTTTTTTTGAGTCTTACTCTGTTACCCAGGCTGGCATACAATGGCACACTCACGGCTACCGTAGCCTCGACCTGTTGATCCTTCCACCTCAGCCTTCCAAGTAGTTGGAACCACAGGCATGCGTCGCCATGCTTGGCTAATTTTTGATTTATTGTAGAGACAAGGTCTTGACATGTTGCTCAGACTGTTCTTGAACCCCTGAGCTCAGGTAATCCTCTTGCCTCCACTTCCCAAAGTGCTGGGATTACAGGTGTGAGTTACCGTACCAGCTCCATTTTAATTATTTAACTAAAGTGCAGCAACTAGTAGAATAGACACTGAAGTAAGCTAGAATTTAACCCCGAATGTATTATTGACTAGACAAGTTTAGATAAATTACTTATGCACTTTTTCACTTTATTTGCCCATTTAAGATGAAAATGGTATCTGCCCCTGTCTTCACAGAACTTCTAAGAAAACAAACAAGATATCTTAACTCTGTTTGACCAAAAGTTGAGGATTCTCTTAAAAAAGAAAAATAAGGCAGGGCTCGGTGGTTCAGCCTGTAATCCCAGCACTTTGAGAGGCCGAGGCGAGTGGATTGCCTGAGCCTGCGGGTTCGAGACCCACCCAGGGAACTTTGCAAGACCTCGTCTCTACAATAAATCAAAAACTAGCCGGGTGTGGTAGTACACGCCTGTAGTTCTGGCTACTTGGAAGGCTGAGGCGGGAAAATGGCCAGAGCCCAGCAGGTCAAGGCTGCGGTGGCCGGGAGTGTGCCACTGCATTCCAGTCTAGGTGACAGAGTGAGACTCCAACTCGAAAAAAAAAAAAAAAAAAAAAAACCCAAAACTCTATCAGGAAGCCTTAATCTGTGGTTAACTCCAATTGCCTAAAAGCCAGAGGGTTATTTTTTCCCATTTTCATTCATTTTCTTTCATGCATTGAAAGTTCCTCTCTTACTAGAAATTGACCTTCCATATGACCTATCAATTCCCCTATTGGGAATATATCCAGAGGAACTCAAATTATTCCACAAAAAAGATACCTTCATACGTATGTTTACTGCAGCTCTATTCACAATAGCAAAAACATGGACCCAATCGTGTTGCCCATTGAAGCTGGACTGGATTAAAAAAATGTGGTACATACACACAAAGGAATATTATGCAGCCATAAAGAAGGACAAATATATGGACTTTGCAGCAACCTGGATGGATTTGGAGTCGATCCTACTCAGTGATTTATCACAAAAACAAAGAACAGAGTTCCACATGTTCTCACTCAAAAGAGGATCTTGAACAATTAAAATGCTATAGGAAAGCGACTGTCAGTAATGGGAAACAGGCAAGGGGGGGTGGGCTCGGCAGTTGAACGAAACTGCTAAGGGAAGGAGGGGCACACCTCATCAACAAGGGTACCTGCATGATCAATGTTTATATACCTATCCCTGAATAGTTTAGGTATATAAACCCCACATCTTTATAATACAAATTAAAAAATTAAAAAAGGATTTCACACAAAAAAGAAAATTCCTCTCTTTCACCTATAAAAATATCAGTTTTTTCCTATCTACCAACCTCACTTGCCTCCAAAAATAAGGAGAATAATTATGAAAATAAATAGTAAGGAAAAATTTTGGGAAAAAGCTGAGAAAATAGCTATTTGCTTCAATACTTCTAAAAATAAACAAATTGCAAATTTACTCTAAATACTTAGACATTATTTCAACTCCATTTCCTCAGTTCTTTCATTTTACCTTTGTATACAGCTTCTTTAACCACTCGACCTAGTTTCTAATAAAAGCCAGAAATAGTTTTTTTAGTGGGATCCTCCATGAAACTCATGCTCATTAATTTCTATTTTACCTCTTCCTCTGATCATCACCATCTTCACATGAATACAATCATGGCAATCTCTCACATGAAAGAACGGAGCATTAAAAAAAAAGGGAATGCTACAAAGATAATTCTTCAAAGACTTGGTGGTTGAATTTGCAATAGTTTTTAAATTAGGAAAGCAAAGGGTATAGGACCAAGAGGTAAATGCATATACTGTAACAATCACTGAACTAGCAGTCAAGTAGATAATAATGCTCTTTTCTCCTGCATCTTTTACTATCATGCCAGGTGATTTAAGTAAATCTCCATATATCTCCAGGCTTAAATTTATCCATTCATAAACTCAAGAAGCTAAATGAGATGATTTATGGCTTTCTTGCCCAGTTCTAGTCACCTGTCATTTCAAAATCCTTTTTCCAGCAGGCATTAATTTTGGTAGCTTTTTTTCAGAGTTGCATTTCTGTATCCTTTTTCCTGCCTATTTCTACATATTAGTTGATGAACCAATTTTGATAAAAGCAAATTTTTTTCTTTTCTCTGGATTCATAAGAGATAACCTTTTGAGCTTCCAAATGTAACTGTTTTCATGGACAAATTTTTCCTTCCAAAAGGTCTGAGTAAGACAATTTAAAGTCACTGCACCATCTTGTGGCCATTTCTGGGAATTGATATTTTCCAGACAGCCTAAAACAAAATGTACCCTATATATATAACAGAATACATGATGGAAACATATATACTACAAGTTACACTTTTTGAATGTTACATTTACAGTGATTCATGTATTATATACAGAACATTAACAATTTTCACGTTGATTTTTAAAACGAACACTTTTACAGCATTCACTGTACCTAGTACCTTTAAATGCTTTACAAATATCATCTCAATCTTCATAACAATTTTAGGAGATAGGTACTGTTACTATCCTTTTGTAGATGAGGAAACTGAGGTATGAAGAAGTAACTGCCCAAACTCATAAATGTTTCATAAACTTAATGATTATTACTTGTAAGGCCAGAATATTTCAGTAGTGTTAGAATAAAGCACAGTAAAAAAAAAAAAAGCCTAGTTAAATTGCTTAATTTCTTTTACTGTTTTTTTCATTTTGCAACTTATGTATCCATACTCCCAGATAAAATAAATGGCATTTACTAATCTACTTGATAACAGATACAAATAATGAGAATTAAACATGAAACAAAATATATCCATAAGTGATATATACTTTCATAATATAAACACATTGCAAATTTAGAAAATAATATTAGTGATTAATCAATTTGCTTATCTTCATCAGACACTTTTTAAAGTCTATATCTAACCCTCCTTACTAATTTTGTTAGGATGATAATTTCTCAATATAATGTTTAGCACAGTGTCTGGGACATGTGAAGCATAAATATTCACCCACAGGTTAAATATTTATTTCCTTCTTCTCTTTCTTTGAACTCAAATGTAACAAAATTAGCACTTTTTATGCCTAACAAGTGAACTGTTCCCAGACTATTTTGATTGTCATTTTCAGTTTAATTATAATTAAACTGTGGTGACTCAGGAGACTACATCACTATGAATAAAGAAAATACTCAGTCATTTTAAGCAAAAATTGGTTGCAATCCTATATTATCAAGTAGGTTAGCAGCTAAGGGCTACTCTTCTTCCCAATAACTGAGGCCCCTTTCCACATGAATTTGGATTGGTGCATTTGAAAGAAAAGAAGAACCTGGATACATATAGCTCAACTCTTTCCTTACTCCTCCTCTTGAGAAACAGAGGGCTCACAACATTCATTCTGCTCTGCTCCTTAATGCCACAAGTTTTACAAGAGCAAGTCATCAAACGGACAGACCTGTCCCAGTGAAGTTCTCCTTGTCAATGCAGTTAAATCTGGCTAGTTTGGGACTTCAAGATTAAGAGATCCTCTTGCCTTCAAATATAAGTCACATTCTCCAATATTAGTTATCAATAATAAATATATTATTATCAATAGTAAAGATACTTGTCTTTCTTAGTTGATTTAGAACTTAAAGAAAACAGAATGACATTTATTAAACCCCCTCAAAACCCAAAATTAGACATAATCTAAATATAAGCTTTAGCATCTTTAATGAACATATTTAACTGTAACACTAAAAATTTTTCAGGAGATAAACATAAAAGTACTTAATTAACTTAATAATTAATACAAGTTATACATAAAGACTAAAATCTCTGTCTATGAAAATTATAGACAGACTGAACTCTTTGCCTACAGCAAGAGTTACAGACAAAAACTGAAGTCTTCTTTAATTCTCCAAATGACAAATTTTTAGCATTTTTAGTTAATTCTTTTGAATTAATAAATGGCAATAAACAGCTTAGGAAACAAAAATGTATAATATATATATATATAAAATGTTATTTTTCTACTTATAAACAAAAAAGTCATTTCTAAGTAGATGTTAGAATTGAAATGGTGGCTGGGCTCAGTGGCTTAGCCTGTAATCTCAGCACTTTGGAAGACCAAGGCTAGTGAATAGCTTGAGCCCGTGGGTTCAAGACGAGCCCAGGCAACTTGGTAAGACCTCGCCTCTACAATAAATCAAAAATTAGCCAGGTGTGGTAGCACACGCCTGTAGTTCTGGCTGCTTGGAAGGCTGAGGCAGAAGGATTGCCAGAGCCCAGCAGGTTGCAGCAGGTTGACACTGGGATGGCTGTGAGCATACCACTACACCTCAGTCTGGGCAACAGAGTGAGACTTCGACTCAAAAAAAGAAAAAGAAAAACAAAGAAAATGAAATGGTTAAAGAAAACTATGAGAATTATATGTTCTTACCTTGTCTTTTTTTTCTTTGACAGAAACTGTGTTTTCTTCTGCCTTTCTTCTGAGTTTTTCCTATTAAAAAGAAATATCAAATACAACACAATCATTAATATGATCACAAACAAATGTTCTTACTATCAAAATCTTTTCTAATAAGTATCAACATAGAAAGAATACTACCTCTGAATCTTATAAAATAATAATAAAAAAATTAGTTCCTCTCTACAGAGATGTTATTTGGTTTTATCTTTTCTTTTTATTCTGATCTGTCTGTAGTGTATATCTGCAGAATCTTGAAAAAGTCTCTTAAAACTCTGAATCTCAATTTTCTTATTTGTTAAGTGAATGGATCAGATTATAGAGTAAGAGTAACAAAGTAGCACAAGTACCTAAACTGTGAAGAGGTGCAAAGAAATCTAAAATATTATGGAACTTTAAAGCTAGAATTAGCTTTACCCCTGTGTGTTGAGAAAAGGTGTATTTCAGTTGGACTTTGAATAATGAACAAGATTTCAACATGAGATAGAAAGATAACGTGGAAAAGCAAAAACAATCACATGAATAAATACAGAAAAGTACACAATATTTAGGAAATAGTACATAATTTTTTCTGAAGAACGGGGTGTGTACATAGAAGTAGTCAAGATAAAAAAGGAAAAAACAGTTGTGGCAAAAGCAGAAAGTATGATATGCTAAGCTACAGAATCATAGGAAAAAAGAAAACATAATCCTGGCCTACTGAAACGAGTGTGTAGTATGCATGTCATATGACAGCCAACTGGTGAACAGAATTGTTAAAGCCCCAGGAAGCCTTAAAGGTCTTAGAGAGGGGAAGTCTCCCAGTCTACAGAACTTTAGGCAGTCAAACTTGCCCATATGCCTATGTCAATATCTATCCTCACTGAATACCTTGGGTATACATGTTATCTCTCCCACAGTATTGCTCTTAACCAAAGAACTCTCTGTCATGAAAGAAGTGGACAGTAACCTAATGTAATGGTATTTACTGTTTTTTTATTATGTATCCTATCACCCACCAATTGTTGATCTTTAGTTATACCCACAACTGGGGTCTACTCTAAGGGGCTGGGATTCTATTTTTAGGACAAAATACATTCTCTAAAACCAGCAACATTGATCTGACTCGCAGAACACATATCTTGGCTTCTAGAGGACAGAAGGGAGAAAGCACCTCCCACAACTGCACTCTACAATTCTGACTTTTGCTGGTCAGGAGATCTTAGTACAGTCTATTCTGATACAACAAGTGTTTCCAAGGTGTGAATTAGCTCACATACGAACATTTATCTTTGGTGGTGACCATGGGTTTCCTAAGACCAAAGAGATGGGAAGTCCACCAAGGTTTCTATTTAATCTGAATGAGTAAAATATGCCCATAACATAGCCTGGCAAACAGAAGGTTGACTTGAGCCATCACAGTTGAGAATTACAACTTTGTGATCAAATTTCAGACCTAAATAAACTCACTAGCATAAAATCCTCTGAATAGAAAGGAAGCCTGGGATGCTTGTGAAAAGTGTGTAATATCTGCAATATTGTATAACATATTTAAGGACTTTGAAACTTTCCCTCCATATTAAAGTAGTAAACAAACAAATTTCACATCACTAGGCAGAGATCAAGGCCTCAAACTATGAAAGCTATATCATAATCCCATAAAGCCAACCTATTTTAATTAGAAGTTAAGACTGTCATGTAGATACCAAAGGGCTTACAGGTAGAAACGGGGACTGTCTTATTGACTAAGATCAAAATTGAGAACAAAGAAAAAAGTTGCACATAAAAGGTGAGCTGAATCTATGTAACTGCAAAGCTCAATTAAGAGAAAAAGGGACTGGGCTCAGGGGCTCAGCCTGTAATCCTAGCACTTTGGGAGGCCGAGGCAGGACTGCCTGAGCCCAAGGGTTCGAGATCAGCCTGGGCAACTTGGCAAGACCTCATCTCTACAATAAATAAATAATTAGCCAGGCATGGTAGCATGTGCCTGTAGTTCCAGCTTCTTGGAAGGCTGAGGCAGAAGGATCACCAGAGCCCAGCAGGTTGACACTGGGGTGGCCGTAAGTGTGCCACTGCACTCCAGCCTGGGCGACAAAGTGAGACTCCAACTCAAAAAAAACAGAGAGAGAGAGAGAGAAAGGAATCGTGGGTTAAGAATAGAATATACATACATTTTTTTTTCTGATTTAGGATCAGATATAGAATATAATTTTTTTGAAATCTTGACTATGTAAAATAATAAAATAAATATTTAAATTATATATGTAGGGAAAGTTGAGATAAAAGAAAGTATTAGATATATATTTAAAATATAAAAATAATAAAAACAATTTAAAAGACTATATATACCTTCCAAATCAAAGTAAGACATACTTTAGAGACAGAAAATATGTTTTAATATGAAATGAAAATAAGATGACAAAAACATTACCAAAAGTACACATCATATCAACAAAGAGTTAATATCCAGAATCTATAAGCAACTCCAACATCTCAACAACAGAAAAGCTTTATTAAACCTGATTCAAAAATGGGCAAAGGACTTAAATTATCAATTCACCAGAGAAGATATATAAATGATCAAAAGCATATTAAAAGAATCTTACCATCACTAATCATAAGAGAAATGCAAATCATAAACACATGAGATGTCATCTTACACACATTAGGATGGCCACCATCAAAAGAAAAGAAAATAATAAGTTCTGATGAGGCTGTAGAGAAATTGGAACCTTTGTGCACTGTTGGTGGGAATGTCCAATGTTGCAGTCACTGTGGCAAATAGTATAGAGATTCTTCAAAAACTCAGTAATAGAATTACCACATGATCCAACAATTCCACTTCTGGGCAAATGTTCAAATTGCTCAGTATGAGAGCCACAATGTAGAGTTGTGCTAATTTGACCCTATTCAGTATGGCTCCTAATCCTACCACTAATTGCTCAGTATTAAGAAGAGATCTGAGGGGATGAGTAGGCAGTACTAGAAGAAAAAGGCAACTAGAAAATGCATAGAGTAATCAGAAGGAAAAGCAACTAAAGCTTATACGTGGTCTCTCTAAACTGGAGAAAGAAAGCACAACTATTAACTATACAGAATTAATTCCCCTTGCCAATAAACAGAACATACTAGAAATAAAGTCAAAAGACAAATTTCTTAAAAATGAGATAAGATTCTCTTGAGAGAGCAGAAAATACAAAAAGAAGAGATTTGTTAAGAGCACCAGATACATTTTGACTGTTTCCCTGGCCCCTTGTCATCACCGCATAAGTGGAAGATCCCAAATCATGATTTTTTTTTTTTTTTTTTGGTCTCTTCCCTCACAGAGCTGTGCAAATAAGGAAATAATGCTTAAAGAGACTGTCAAAATGGCAAAAATAAATAAATACAGCTTGTCTTCTCAGATAGATACACAGTCCTAAAAGCACTATAATGAGTTGGTGAAAAGATCTGAACCTGAGGACAAAAACATCACAGAAAAACCTACAACCCAATACCTTTTATAAATATAGGTGTATGCAAAAAATACAAAAAAAAAAAACAAAACAAAACTAGCAAACCAAATCCAGCAAAATATAAAAAAGAATATATACACCATGACCAAGTAGGATATCTCTCAAGAACGTAAGGTTGCTTTAACATCTGAAAATCAGTTTATAATAGAATAAAAAATAAAACCACATGATCGCCTCAAAAGACATGAAAAAAGCTTTTCATAAAACGTAACACCGTTTTTATGATCATAAAAAAACCACCTTACAACTTACAAGAAATAGAAGAGAACTTTCTAAATCTGATAAAGAGAATCTAGATAAAATGAACTTCACTAAAATTAGTGCTGCAAGTGATAAAAAACCAGAAACTGAAAAAACAACCTACAGAATGGAAAAAGTATTTGCAAATCATAGATCATATAAGGGACTTGTATCTAGAATAAATAAAGAACTCTTAAAACTCAGTACTAGAAAGATAAATAAACTACTTTAGATTTTTATTGATATTTAATAGTTGAACATATTTTTGGAGTACAAGTGATATTCTGATACCTGTATACAATACATAATGATAAAATCAGGGTAATTCAAATATAATATCCATCACCTCAAATATTTATCACTTCTTGGTGCTGGGAACATCCCAATTCTTCTCTTCTACTTATTTTGAAATATACATAGTATTTTGTACTACCCACTAGTCCTATTGTACTACCAAATACTAGAACTTATTCCTTTTATGTAACTGTATTTTTGTGTCCACTGATCAACCTCTCTTTATTCCTCCCTCCTTACTATTCTTCCCTATCTCTGGTAACCACTACTTATCTACTACCTCCACGGGATCAATTTTGTTAGTTCCCACCTATAAGTGAGATATAATAGTTGTCTTTTCCTGCCTGCTTTATTTTATGTAGCATAATGTCCTCCAGTTCTATCCATGTTGCTGAAAATGAAAATATTTCATTCTTTTTATGGCTGATTAATATTCTGTTACGTATATATACCGTATTTCATTTTAGATTTAGGAGCACACGTGCAGGTTTGTTACATAGGTATACTGCGTAAGGGTGAGGTTTAGGCTTCTACTGAGCCCATCACCCAGAGAGTAAGCATGGTACCCAATAGGTGGTTTTCCAAACCTGACCCCTCCTCCTTCCCTCTCCCTTTTAGGAGTACATAGTGTCTGTTGTTTCCATCTTTCTGCCCATGTGTATCTGGTGTTTACTCCCACTTAAAAGTAAGAACATGCAGTATTCAGTTTTCGGTTTCCATGATAATTTGCTGATTACAATGATGGCCTCCAGGTGTATACCTGTTGCTGAAAAGGACATGATTTCATTCTTTTTATAGCAGAATAGCATTCCATGTGTATACGAGGAGGAACCCCAAAAAACTGGAATTGATTTATTAAAAATTGTGTATCTTTTTTCCAATGAGCTCTGAATTTTTTATTGGCCTACAGTTCCCCCAAAGGATACCCTGTTCCTGCTGCCTCAGTGCCTCAGAACTTTGGTGTCTTTGCTTTCAGACACAACTTTGCCATCCACTATCCTATGG